GTGAATACAAGGTCCTCATAATGTGTCTTGACTTAAAGCTACAGTCTCACTGACATCCCTGCAGAGCCCTGGTAGACGTCCGGGGTGATTCGGGGCTCTACCGGGAACAACCGGGGTACATCCGTTACACTGCCGACAACATTTGGGATGATCTGGGAACATCCGGCATTCGACCCTGGATGGAATAAAATATTTTATATCACCAGGGTGGTCCTTGATGATCCGGGAAGTAAAGCTTTGCAGGCTTCATCCTTAGCTCTGCCGGGAATAACCAGGGTTACACAGGGGAAGCACCGTAGCTCTTCCGGCACAAACCGGGGATGATCTGGGGTATGATATAGCCAGTAGAGCTACGGTAGAGCCCCAGAGGATGCCGGCAGAGCCCCGGAGGATGACGATGGAGCTACGGTTGATCCAGGTAGAGCCCCGGCAAAGCCTAGTTCATTTCAAAAGAATCACAACAATTTGCGATGATTGCACTTGTTTGTTTTAAAACCCTTCCAATTTCCCTTCTATCCAGTATGGCATAAGGATTTTTCAGAAAATCATCATGAATTACTGTTCTGGAACAATAGATATTATATTAAATAAAAATTATGTATCAATGTTATTCTTTTCGTGCGTTTAATTTTTTAATCTACCAGGGGTCTGCCTGTATCGACCGGGGAAGCACCTGTATTAACCGTAGCTTCACCTGGGCTCTGCCTGGATGGTCCGGAACGCATCCTGGTTGGTTAGTTGGGAATACCATAGTGTTGCCGGGGTTAATGTGACTGCAACAATAATTTCACCCCGGATTGTCCCGGATCATCCTGGTAACTTACCGGGTTGGTCCTGGGCTCTGCCGGGAGTAAGTGAGACCACAGCTTAAAATTGATGGGTGCTGATAAATCAATTTCTACTTGTTATACCTTTCAATTTCAGTTAAAATATCAATTACATGTACTTTGTCATTCTAGGAAGTTCATAAAATCTTAGAATACCTTTAAATTACATTAGCCCACAGACCAGTTCTCATTAAATTTGCAGAAGTTGTACATTCTATATCCCCAAAAAAATTTTCTTTTACTTCTGGGCATATTTTCGTTTGTAATATTGTCCAACAATATTGTCCTTGATCTTCATTAACTTTCATAAAGGTCATTGAATAAACACTTGTATCAAACGAATATTTTGATAATTATTTGTTATCTTCACATGTCAGTAAGGTGAGGTATATTTGTATAGATTCCGGGCTACTGATCTGAAGGTCTCTGGTTTGATTCCTAACCAACACTGCATTAAGTCACACTTTTTGTGTTTTTGTTTTTTTTATTATAGCAAGAATTGAATTAATTTGAAATTGTTTTAATATATCTACTTTTAGGAGAACTTTTAAGTAGTGTGGTGTTTCCTTTTGTTTTATCAAGATGACTTGTTTTCGTAAGTACTCAGACATACGGATGTTGGACAATTGTAAGTTTTTCTCTAGAACGCATATTTTTCAATGGTTTCTTGGTGACATTATGCAAACGTATATGGTTTAGCGCATACACACTACAGATGTAGTTAATATAAAAGTACACAGATAGTATACACAAAAAAAATGATTTGCACGAGTTAATTTACAGAAGGAGAGAAGGGCAATTTTAAAATTAAAAGAAATAAAGTGGCTGAACCAGGATTTGAACCTACGACTTTATAATGTCTATAATATCTTGAAGCAATGTCTTAATTACTGCTTGCGCTAAGAGGGATTCTTAATTAAGACCATTTAACAACTGGTTATATTATTAGTTATAAAGATTGTTGTCAGGTTATATGGCCCTATATAAACTGCTATTTGAAGGCGGGGTTATATTGCAAACAGCCGTTTATATACCGCCATATTACCTGTCAACAATCTTTATAACGAATTTATAATACAGCAAGCATTATTTTTTAGAGAAAAAATTAAGATGTTTTTATGAATCGACAGCTGCGAGCCGTGTATATAAAACTATATAAACGTCACGATTATCCAATGAAAAGCGACATTACAAACATGCAGTATTATAAACATTCATTAAGATTTTAAAGTAGATCAAAAGTTTACCGAATTTACTGGCTAGGGGGTCAAATGAAGAGTGCATGGTCAATATTGTTGGAAAAAAAAACATACCCCTGTCTGTCTGTTAGTGAACAATTTGTTTATAAAAATAAACTGCTGAATGTCTGTAATGGATTTGCCCTGCTTTGTATTTGGAAAAGTCAATCAAATCAATCAATCAATATACCAGTACTAAAATTGAGCTGTCCACAGTACAGAACCTGAACTGAGTGCACAGGTGATCAGGCTGGCCTGGATCTATACTTGTGACAAGAACTTATCATTTTCTGTTCCAACATGTCAAGGGCTACAGACTTCATAGATTGTCATAACACACTAATTACGGAATTAAAACTGGATGTTTATAATATTTAAACATGGTCCTCTTCAAATTTGGTTGTGATATAGTTTAATATGGACTTCTTTTAGGGAAATTCTACATTGTATGTGGATAGAAGCTTTTAAAAGACTTCATATTATAAACTCTTAAGCTATGTTTTTGCTATTTCCATGTTTCAAGGCAGTGTCATTCTATTGTTCCTTTTTAAGTATGTCATTTGCTTCAATGGTTTGTTTGGGGATTTTAACAATGGTCTTGGTTCCTGCCACTTTGTCCATTCCCTTCTCAGTTTTTCCTCATTGTATTTTAAAGTGTGTCTTTAGTCTGTATAGTTGGAGATTACACCCCCACCTCCCTCCCTTCAATTTGGTCCCATATCCCCTTCGGTTCTTTTATCTTTAATTATACCTTTATGATATACTATAGTAGTTTTCTAAGCCATTCACAATAATAAATTAATAATATGGTTTTTGAGAATGTAAGATGCTTGTGATCAATGTAATAAAATTTATCAAAAAAGTAGCAAAATGTAATCAAAGCACTGGCAGTATTGACTTCCACAAAGAATACTAATTCACTGTAACTGTACTTCTTTCAAAATTGCAAAAGATGAAAAAGATTGTTCAGGTAATTTGCCATGAGTAACTTTCTTGATAAGAACACTAGAATTTAGAAGCTTTTGAGAAATAAAAATAAAAGCATTTCTGAAGCATTATGGGTCTGAGCTAGGTGGCCTTGAGGCTTGACATACTTTCCATGAACAGACTTTGTGCCTGCAACAATTTACTTACTGGCGTTCGCTCCTGCAACAATTTAAGTTTTGCTACTATGAGCATAAACTGAAGATATTCTGAATTAAATCTACATGTACTTGCATTATTTTTCAAAATATGGAAACGTTTGTCTGCCCAGTAAAAATAAGTGTGGCGCTAATTTTCGACCCATAAGGGGCTAAATCTGTCCACCTTGTTATTTTATAAACTGTTTGTGTTTTTGAGGCAGCCTGCTCATCCGCGCAGTCTGATCAGGATCCATGCTGTTCGCTTAAAAACTATAATTAGAAAGAAACTGATAGCGAACAGCATGGATCCTGATCAGACTGCGCGGATGCGCAGGCTGGTCTGGATTCATGCTGGTCGCAAACCCATTATGTTGGTTTTGTCGTAACGCGGCTCATATATTTGAAAGTTATTTCATTTACTTAATATCAAACAATTGCTGATTGTGGCAGTGGATATTTTCATTTATTGGAATTAATTTATAAGATTAAACTATAGTGTAATATACATTTAAGAATTTCATGAAGATAATATAAAATCACAATTTAGTTGGATTTTTTACCAATATTTAAGGTTTATCTAGATATATTTAAACAAAAAATCTTTTCTACTGTCTTTAAATCCTCCTTTTCATGTGATGATTCAAATAAGACAAACAGAATGCTAATTTACTTCCATTGCACTATCATAATTTTCAGCGCAAAAAGGTTGTAACTTGAGATACAACCCTTTTGCGCTGAAAATTAAGAGCAATTTGAGATACAACCTTTTGACAAATATTGATTTAACTTGTTAATTTTCAGAATCCATTTAAAATACTTACAGAGGATATGCATAACCACAAAACACATTGAAAATGTTAAAAATGTTATTTTGTGGAAAAAAGTGAGTTACAACCGTTTTGCGCTAAGCCCACGTTATGCTGATTTTAACTTACCAATTCCTCATAAATTTTGGCATTAATATAAAACGGTAACATCTATGCCTTACAATAACTCAAACTTTAGAAATGGACATAATAAACTTATCAGACAATCAGTGTCCCATTACTGCTCAGCATTTTAGACACAATTTTGACAAGTACACAAGGTTATTCACACCTCGCCGTCCGGTATTATCAGGGTAATTATCTATATAATTGACTTCATGGTCCCCTATCAACCGTCCCATATTCGTTTTTTACAAATTCCGGTATTGTCAATGTTTAATGCAAAAGTTTAACGAAGGGAAAATTTGGGACTGAATTAATCGTCCGGTGTTTAGAGGTTCCGATTTTCTCTGCGTCCGGTTTTCTCAACTTTAACTGTATTTTCTGATAAACATTAAGTACCGTGATATCATCTCCCAGGAAATGAACATGACATGTTGTCTATGTCTCTGGGTTAATATTTAAAAAAAAAAAATCTTTTTTAGAACTAGATTTTGAAATATATTTCATATCAGGTATCTCAAACTTTATGTAAACTGTCATCTCATTGAGGACTGCAACATCTGTAGTTTCATGTTGTTTGTATACCTTTAAAAAAATGTGCTATTGATGGGACATACTCATTATCATCTTGACTTCATGTGTTCTTGCTTCAAACATATTTTATAAGTTTTTTTTTCCAATTATTAATAATTTCTTTGTATTTCCTGAACTCACACAAATACTAGATTAGTTGTTGATATGCATGATTATGTACTGAAAGTCAAAAAATATTTATTATTTAATGAAATCAGATTTTATTATTGATTATTCTGACATAGACTTCTGATGAAATGGGAAGTCCCTGTTGTATAAATTAAATATACTTTCTAAACAAATGTATACTAGATCTTCATCAAGGTCAGGATCAATTCCATTAAATTACTATTTGCCACTGAAAAGCTGTTATTTTTTAGAATTTATTGTTTTAGTATATACTCACTGATCACTGTTTTTATGTTTAATTTTCATGTCTATTTTTAGCTGTAATTGGAGATGCCAACCACAAGGCAAGGGGCTGAGACTCCCCATAGAAATGTCCAGCTGCAAGGACCACAGAAGGTTGATGCAAGAAAAGCTGCTCAGAGCAACAAAAAAGATGCCGAAGTGAGTGTAAAACCTAAATTCTCAAAGACCAGGCAGAATATATATTTGCCTCTGTTATTTGAATAAAAATTTATCAAGAATTTTGCAATTTGAAATGTTGATTTTCTATAATTAAAGAAGAAGTTTTTAATAAATTTAGGCTTTATACAAATCAAGAGTTAAACTATTGTAAACTGAAGGTAAAAATAGAAGGAAATAATTCAACATTTGTGCTCCGCATAAGCCACAGTGGCTAAAAATTCAGTGGATAATTTGCCACCATCTACTTATGATTTATACCAAATAATAAAGGAGCACTTCACAAATGGCTAGTCTCATTTTTTCAGTGGCACTTTTACAGTCTGCCAAGTTTTCTGATCAATCAATTATAGTTTTATCTTTTATTAGTTCATGACATATACAATGTAATACATAAGCGCTTAAAGAGAAACAGCTTTGACTAGCAAAAAGGAGCAAGTTGGTTTGATTTAACTTCTGTACAAACGCAAGACTAAGTAACTTGATCATGCAATTCACTGTCAGTTACAACTTACAGTCTTAAAAGATGCCACATTGTTAGAGAATAGGCACCGCCTCCGTGGTCGAGGGGTTAGAGTCGATGACCTGTAATCCAGGTACCTCTCTGGCTCGGGTTTGATCCCCGGAAGATGCTTTGGTAGTTTAGCACGGAGGAAGGTAGTCTAGTACTGGTGTAACTCTCCAGGAAGGATGGTTAGTAAACTTCCCGCCTATATGACTGAAATACTGTTGGGAAAAGGCGTAAAATGAAACAAACAAACAAAGTTAGAGAATACGGTATGAAGTGAAAATATTTTTAAAATTCTAAAACTTCAAGTTGACATCTTTCTGGTATAAGAGATGTAATATTTCAGTGAAATTAAGTGTTTACTGCGTGCAGTTTTTAAATATTCTTAGCTTTTAAAGTTGATTAATAAACATAAACATTTTTGATACTTAGATTGTAAAGCTTACTAGAAGATCCCAAGCAACACCGGAAACCAGCCAAAACACTCCAAGAAGAACCAGAGGTTCTGATGTTGAACCAGAATCTGTAATGGAACCAGCTTCCAACGAAAGGGCAACCAGGAGGAATGGTAAGTTTTGACTTATCTTTTTTAAACATTGCTGGCTGGCTTCCAGGAGAGTGCAAAAAGGCTAATGAAATGTAATAGGGATATTTCCAACGAAATATTCATTGAAAAGTCACCATTGGTATAAATATTGCAATAATAATTGATATGTCAACAATGTTGATAAATTATGTACTATAGTAATGAAAATTTAATGCCCTGTTATTGCTTGTAAACAATGCCAAACTCCCCTAACATAATTTTGCTATTGACAAGAAAGTTGTGTATTGATGCAAAAATATCAGTTGCTTTTGTGATTTAAAACCATGTTTAATAATCTAAGAATACTTATTATTAATAGCTTTTTATAAATATTTCATTTTCTTTAGCAGTGGTCAAAGCCAGTCATGCTGTCGGACAAACTCAATCTCCATCTACAAGAAAGTCAAAACGGACAGCGACAGAAAGTCCCAAAGTTATCATAACAAAAAAGCCAAGAACTGATCAAGAAATTAAAGTTCCATCTGCAACAGTAGTTGAAGATACTTCTAGTGATGATGTACCTAAAAGCAAGAACGAAGATCAAGTGACAGAGGTTGAAACTAAAACTGACAAGGGAGACTTAGTAGAGATGGGAAATGATGCACACAAAAATGTGGATATGGAGTTCAAAAGTTCAAAAACACTTAAAGCTGAGGATGCAGAGTTAAAAAGTTCGAAATTGAAAAAAGCAGGGAGAGGTTTAAAGCCTGAAGATGCTGATGTTATATCACCAAGGAGAAGTTCAAGAGCTGTGGTTCCTAACAGTAGATTTAAAGATATGGTAGACTTGGGCAAGAAGAAAACTGGTAAGTACCAATAGGTTTGATATGGGATATATCTTCATGTAAGTTCTACAGTTACTAACTAGTTTAGGTCGGTGGTCTACTCAGGGTGCCTGAAATATTAAATGAAGGGCACCTGAGGTCTTCCTCTATTAAAAATACAGCCATATGACATTAACAAACAAATTAAGAACAGAAAAAACAGTTAGTTATCAACATAGTAACATCTATGAATTCTTAAAGTATATAAAGCTATAAATCTACTGTCAATGGATTGTATTATTATTGCTTATATTACGATTAAAATGATAACTGAATACATAGAATGAAAGAAATTTATCAGCATATTTTATTGAAAGCGAGCGTGGCATATATGAAATCTTCGCAAAACCTACTAAAACTGTGTATTGTTTATGTTCATTGTTACACATTAATGATTAAGCCTCAGAAATAAATAAATTTGTACTTAAGAAAGGGCAATCATGAATACCTGAAGAAAGTATTGATAAATATTTTGTCCTAAAAGTAGTCAAATGTATATAAAACAAATTAGTAATTTGACTTCCATACAAAATACTAATTCACTATAAGTGCATGTATTTATTGTCAAAAAGCAACAGATGAAAAAGATGGTACAGGTAATTGGCCAATGAGTAACTTTTTGAATACTATAAAAGTACACCAAAATTAAAAAGCTTTTGAGAAATAAAAATAAAAGCATTTCTGAGGCATAATGGGCCTTTAAAGTATATTAATACATACATGTATGGATTTATGACAGTTTATGTTATAAAAGATTGATGAAATTGTTGTAGTGATAAAGACAGAATCTTTGAAGGATGTGAAGGATGCATCAACAGTAAAGAAGCCAAAAGTTGATTATACATCGATAAATGTACAGCAGCAGTAAGTATAAAAACAAAAATATCCTATAATTAATTTTTAGCTCACCTAAGCCTTTAGAATATTTCAATAATCTAAGGTTAGTGATACAGTGCCATCATGAGCCTCTTCACGGACTCTTAAGAGCCTTTTTATAATTGGTATAGATGTTAAAAGATATGTTCATCAGTGATTATACAGTTAAAGGATCTTTCTGTTTAGGGTTGCAACCTTAACACAGCAAGCCTACTTATTTGTGTTAAGTTTATGAAAACGTAGAGTAAAAATATTGTTAAGTGGACAAACTTTGTTCTTCAACATTGCCAGAAGTCTTAGCTAACTTGTCAAAATATACAGAACTTTCTCTTGCTTGGGTTGAAACAATGTAGAATTTTGGTGATAAAAGTAGTGAAATGTGTCATACATTTCTTAAAGCTTGATTTTTTGAAGATTTATTTTACTGTGGGTATGTCATTGTAGCCTTTACCCTGCAAATGATTCTACCAATAGAACCATTCAGTGCTATCTGATCATGGTCTACACTGTTCATTATTCAGTCAGTACTTATTTTGAAATAAATGAGCCCATCAAGACAAAACCAACATATTGGGGTTGCGACCAGCATGGATCCATACCAGCCTTCGCATCCGCGCAGTCTGATCAGGATCCTTGCTGTTTGCTTACCAACCCTATTACAAGTAGAGAAACCGATAGCGAACAGCATGGATCCTGATCAGACTGCGTGGATGCGCAGGCTGGTCTGGATCCATGCTGGTGGCAAACGCATTACGTTGGTTTTGTTGTGACGCGGCTCAAATGGTTTTGTCCAGATCAAATTATGGTTAAGTCCATTTTAGATATTAAGCAGGATAAGGGTTAAAATCATTTGCTCCTTACTCTTGTGAGTTTTGAAACCAGCAATGGATGGTTGTTTCTTGTCAAGGTTGTTCCATCTTCAAGATGCCCTATGATCTTTAAAATATCATTATGACTGAAAAAATTTTGCTCCTTTAATGAAAACATGAACTGGTGGTCTTGGTTACAATTAAATTTTGTGTCATGAAAAAGTCAATTGTAGTGTAAGAAAGTTATCCAACTTGCTTGAAGTCTGTGCTTCTACTTAGGCGCAAACCTGTTCCTGAAATAATAAAATAAAACATAGCCAAGGTCTACTTCAACCAATATTCCATCCAAATTCTTGCATTATATAAGACTGATATTTGCCCCCTGTTTGCTGATAATCTGATTCATATGCATCTGAGTGTTCACTGTTATTTAATATAATTGATTCAGGAGAGAGCTTGAAGTCTATTTATAATCTTTCAATCTCCTAAACATTTAGTAAAATCGAAATTTATTGTTATTTCAGTACTATATGTTTCATTTGTATCTATATGAATGCCTCTGTATGATCCAGATTTGAATTTTTTACTGTTGACATATATAAAACTATTACGTTTCATGTATAAAATGAAATTTGTTGTTTCAGTATTTAAGCACATGCTTATGATACAAAGAGTGATTTACCTCCTCAGCTCATTTGTAATATGCATAAATTTTATTTATATGAAAGTTTTTATGTATCTCACTGTTTTTTCATTTATTTATAAATAAAGCTTTTTTTTGTCTTTATGGGTTTTTTAAGTGAAAAAGTGAACTTTGTATGGGTCATATGGCAACTTCCAGCTGTGCATTATTTCAGGCACAGACAGGCACCTGAACCATGGATGTTCCATAAACTAGCAAGGTAGCTTTCTTCTAAGTCCCTGTTGGGATTTGAACCCACAGCGGTGAGGGGACAAGTGGTTTGAAGTCAACAACCATAACCACTTGGCGGCAGATGCCCCTGAAAGAGTGAATATAAACAAACTTGATATACCTGTATGATAATTATTTCAAAGTAAACATTTATAACATTTTTTTCTTACAGGGCAGAAACTAATGAAATTACAGAAGAAATTATTACAGAGGAGACCAAGATTGATCAACTTGCACAGATGAACTTGATGGATGACACATTAGTTTTGCCACCAGGTACAACTGGAGCTTCTGATTTAATACCTTCAGAAATGGAAGTTTCTACAGAGGGAAGTAATAGTGGCATTAGAGTGATAAAATACCCTGGTGCTAAGGTGATAAGATATCCGGCTGACACCAAAGATGCTGCTAGTATAAATCCAGACATCCCTGAAGAAGTTACAGACAACATGGAGGAAAAAGAAATACAGGATGAAATATCTGACTTTACCCACAGTGCCGAAGGTGCTTCTGATAATTATGATGAAAATGATAAATCAAAACATTCAAATAATCATAGACAAGCGGGCAATGTACCTGAGCCACAAGTAATTGTAATTCCAGGTGAAACTTGTATGAGTAAAATCATTATTCCAAAAGATCCCTATAGAGCAAGACTGGAACAAGCTTTTGAGAACAAAGGTGGATCAATGGTTATTGGTCCTAGCACTGGGAAAATTCGAACAAAGAAACTTATTGTCACGCCTACACATCAACATGTTTTAAAGAAAGACCCTCAAAGGGCTCTCAAAGTTGCTGAGCATGGAGAAAAGATACAGTCACCAGAAACAACATTGGGTAAAGCTGTGGGAAAATCTACTGTGACTTCTGTTATATATCCATGGACACAGAAACCAGGAATCAGTACTGGTCAGACCATACATACGCCAGAGAAACAACAAAAATCAGCAGTGCTACCAAGAGTTGAAGATAGCAATAATAATCAGGGTGAAGAAAATTCTGTAGATTTGGATGGTAATATTACAAAAACTAGCAATGCATTGCCTGGAGAATCAGCAGCACAGGTTAAAGCAAATGTACCACATGTGAGAGTAGTCTATGTTAAAACAAAACAGAAAGATCCATCAGAAAAAGTACAAGGTACACATGTAGGTAAAAAACATGGCATTCAACTTCATGATGGCTCAGGAACTAGGAACATTATTAATAATTTAAGAAATAATACACAAATACCCATTGAAGGTAGACATACCAAGGTAGAAAGATCTGAAACGTTTGGTAAAGAAATAAATACTGACAACATTAGTTATATAGAAACTACAGATCAAATATCAAGCAATAAAGAAGATCATCGAGCTAGTGAAAATACACAATTTGTTGAAGGTGTTGAACAGGTTACCAGCGTTCCTGTTGAACAAAACATCGCCAATTCTCTGTGTCAAGTTATTGAATACAAGCATCAGCCTCAGACAGCTATAGAGTATGTTCTACTTGATAATAAGATGGTACCTATACATAAACCATTACAGGTTGGGGGTCATCATGCAAGGGTTCATTCTGGTAGAAGGGCTGAGATTGTACATAGGGCTACACCAGGGCGAGTGGAACCTGGTGGCCAAAAAGAACAAGGTGGTTAGTATTTAAGAAAAATTTATTAGTAAAAAACAGAAACTAAAGAACTCTTTTTGAAATTAGTTTGTATTTTCTTTGTGTTAATGAGAGAATTAACTTTGAATTTCTAAAGATATATGCGCAAGGAAAAGTAAGCTTTTATATCCCCCACTGTAACATTATAGTTTTTAAGGGGTTGGTTATGCCATTATCTCCTTTGTACATAAAGGAAAAGTGACCTATCTCCTTTGTACATTTGTATCATGGTAACATTGCAGCAGCAGTAAAATTTTTTGTTTTACATCTACACTTTCCCCAAGCTTCATGAGCTAGTAAAACATGTTCAATGTATATAATTATGTGAGAGAAAGAAAACCAAGTCCTTCAGACTACATGTATATTTTCTTGTATTGTTTTAGATTATTTTAAGAAGATCCCATTATCTACTGCTCAGAGTGCAATCAGTACAGTATTATCACAAATTGAAGATGGTCAGATTACATCAGTGCCTAGAAATTCTCATACCAAATTCACAATTCCATCACGGCAACAGGTTAGTGTTTATGTCTTTGATAATTATTAACTATGACATTATAAGGGTTTGTACAGTCTTAAAAACTGCTTAGATTTGAGTTCCTTTCTAAAAAGTGCTTAAAAATGCTTGAAAAACACTTAAAAAGTGCTTAAATTTGCTGAAAATGTGCTTGAAAATGCTTGAAAAACAGTGTTAGTAAAAACCGATATTAAACACAAAAAAACAAAAACAAAACAAAAAAATGATTCAAATTAGTACCAAAATCACTGAAATGTTGGCCCAATGTAACAGTAAGGTGAAGAATTGCTATTGATTATAATGAACTACATGTAATTCCTTTGTTCTTCAATAGAAATTGTAAAATTGTTTATTGAAAATGTGTATTCAACAAAGAAATAGCTAAAAAAACTATCCTTTGGTTGAGGATTGTGTTGATGAACATGCAACAAATTGTGCTTGAAAATTAGGAAAACATGATAAAAAAGTGTTTGAAAATACCTTGTATTTTGTTTTTGTATGTCTGTACGAACCTTAACTAATTCAGGGCTAACCCTGGTTGAAAATTTTGTTTTTTGCCAAATTTATTTATTTAATTTATTTCCAATTTCATACAAAATGTTATTGAAATAGCATAACATTTCTAGAACTCAAATCGTGATTTTTGTAGTGAAAATAGATAAATATTAGCAAATTGCTAAAACGGCTAATAGTGAACCCTAAAATTTTCATATTACTGTAGCTAAGTTAATATCTATTACCCTCTACCAGCTTTAGGGCTGATGAAGGCTAAGGAGACGATGCTGGTGTCAATATGAAGTTTGTCATATCAGTGTTGGCAATGAATAGCGTCAGAAAGGGTCAACCTATTAAATCATTGTCTGAGAAGACTATGTGTGGTTTGCTGTTTACATTGATATGAAAGATAAATGTACGAGGGTTGTCCCTATGTCATGGACAACAGCGTTAAAATACAAAACACTTAAGTAATAACAGAAATCTAAAAAAAATTTACTGGTATTTAATATTACATTACTGAACAAGCATGCATGATATCATTAAATTTGATTAATTTCATCATTAAACAGACCAAATTATAAGACTACCTGTATGTTTCAATTACAGGGATCTTCAGACGAAGAGCTAAATGAGACGTCATCTGTGATGCAGCAACCTAGAGGTATGTTATCTTTATATGTCCTTTAAAACATTGTATAGTTAAAGTGGATGGTGGCGTAGCTAAGTGGTTAATGGGTCAGACTAGACTTAGGACCGCTGGCTGGTTGGGTTTAAATCACACTAGGGGCAAGCCATTGTTTCTATTAGTAAGAAACTTTACACTCCTTGCTTAGTACTGGTTGGTTCCAGGAAGGGATTCCAGAGTGTTTCAGATAACATACCATAAGCTGCCAACACAAACTAAAAATTAATTCGTATAAGCTAAAGTGGGTGACAGCTAATTTCCTTGAGCAAAAGAATTGATTATAATATACAATGTACATACCTTTTCTTCTATGATGTAAATGTGTACCTGAGAGGGTGGTACAATATAGTGGCTTAAAAATATGGTATGCCTGTAGTGGATTGAAAGACTTATGATGTGGAATAAATGCTGCACAGTCTTTGTGCTATTTGCTTGAGACCATATTTTAAGCAATTACTTTACTCATAAATAGAATACATTTTTGAATAATTATCTTAGTTATAGAACTGTTCACATATTTGTTAAAAAATGAGTATGCAGTCAGTATGGTTGAGCAACAGAACAGTATTCTATGAGTCTGGTATTTGATTCCCTGTCAAGTTATCTATTTTTCTCAGTCCTATAACAATAGCATATTTATAATGTGAACATTCCAGAAAAAAAAAGTTTTTTTTGTCCCACTGTATAATATCTATAGTGCAACAATGATAATGGGACCATTTGAACTGATTTGGAAAGCCGCGACTGTGTGTCTTGACTTATTACTTTTGGCTACACAATTTTAAAATTTTGATGTTTATGTATGACCTTAAATTTGATTTAAAGGCTTGAAACAAGCCCTTGAAAAATACTTAATTTTTGCTTCAGGCACTATTTGAAACATGGATACATTAAAGTTTTTTTTCTTCATTTTTTTACAGTTTTACATGGGTACATAGACTATCCGGTAAAAACTGATAGCCCAACTCAAATTGTAGAGATCAGTACAGAAGCATTCAATAAAGAGATTTATGGGGAAGAGGTTACATTGGATACTGTCACTGGTAAATATGTACAGTTTTTTACAAGATTGATAATTTTCAGTACTTGAGTTATTAGTAACACTGTCTTGGATTAATTTAATGTTAGATATGGTTCAATGATTGGTTCAATGATTGTAAGTTCGTTTTTAAGCATTGATGGACCAAATAAGTCAGATACAGATTTTTCTTACTGTCTGTTTTGTCTGTCAGCTTTCATCTACTTGACAAGAGTTACATTTTATTGTATTGATATATAGTGGAAATTTAATGCGTGTAGTTTCAATACTGAATTTATTGATAATGCGTGTAGTTTCAATACTGAATTTATTGATAAGTTGAATAAAGTTATTTTTTGTGAGCTTCTGGCAAGCAAAATATTATTTTATTCAAAGAGTACAAAAAATTCAGTTGTGAAGTTACACGAATATAATATTCTATTTATCACATACCTAAAATAAAGACTGTTTAAAGTGCAATACAATCATTTTTCATTGATGTGCCTATAGTGAAAAGCTAACATTAAGCGCATTTAACAATGTTTCTATAACGAAAATGATATTTCGTCAATGTATATGCACAGCCATGCAATATCGTTTGTATGGAGTCACAAAATCGGCACAGGTATGTGATAAGGTATTATCTTGACATTTGTTGTTAATTTTTTTAAAGTTTGGAAGTTGTGCTGTAACTGCTTTGATATTACTTGAATAATTTAGAATACTTTATCTAATGTTTTAATGCTTGTTCATCATTTAACAGTTCAGGTAAAGAATTGTTTCTATTAGTAAAAAATTGTATAGTGAAAAGTTGATACACATAATTTTGTTTTTGAAAATGTTACTTTTGTTGTATATTACATTTGTTAATGCGTTGTTATGTGTTTAGGAAATTTATAACATTGACTCAATTAAAACCTAGCCTGATGTAAAAGCTGTATGTAAATTTATTGTTAATGGAATACTTTTTCTTGCAGGTGAATTAGTACAGCCATCATCTGCTAGTCAAATTGAAATAATACCTATGCAGACTGTATCATTTCCAGAGTTAACATCTGGGAACCAGTCAACTCAGTCTGTATCTCTACCTGAAATATCAGCTGTAAACCAGTCTGTAAAAGAAGTAGCAGGTGCCCAGTCTGTGCAAGTAAATGTTGACCAGTCTATGGAGGAAAATGGACAGACTGTGGCAGAGGGTTCTGACAATGGCGGAACAATAGTTTACTCAGGGTCAGAAGGTATCCTAACATTATGTAGCATTTTCTTATGTAGTTATTTAGAACTGGACATACTGCAGTAAGGCAAACTTTTCTTCAAAAGTGAAAATGATACAAGTCAAATTGTTAAAAAGAGTAATTGGAATTCAAATTGTAAAAGTGAGTAATTATACACAAAAAGTCAAAGCCAGGCCTTGGGCACCTTGAGGGCTGTAGCACTCTTAGATAACATGTATGACCTGTATAAGTTAAATTGAAATCAATAAAAAAATATATGTCTAATTCTAAGATGTTTAAGAAAAATCCTTACTTAGCTGGGTGCCACCATTTTGAAAATCTTGAACTGGTTCTATATATGAGCTATAATTAGATTTCAGGACGCTTTTGAAAAAACATTAATTAAAGCATGTACACAATTCAGACTGTTCCTTGAAAAAGCAGCAGTCTTACATCCTAAATTACACTTCTGGTAAAGTACAGTACACCTAGGATTTAAAAAATTGGATTCCCAGCTTCTATGATTTGATGAAAAGCTAAGCTTACTCTTGTATTTAACAGAAAGACATTCAGGGGAGGTCACTGTATGGACAGAGGGAACGCCAGTTGTCTCCTCTGATAGTAACGTGATGATGAGTACATCAGAGGTTCATGAAGATGGTATTTTACATATAGATGGTCTAGACAACTCCCAGATACCAGAGAATGCCACGGTGACTGTAGAGAAGCTGGCGTCAGGAGGGGAAATTGTTATAATGCAGATTAAGGAAGCAGCTGTGTCTAAAACTTTAGAGAAAATGAAGACGTCCAGGACAAGTATTAATGACCATTTAGTAAAAAGTATTGGAAGTAAAGCCCCGTCTGTCATTCGGGCTTCTGTTGTAGGAAAATCACTGCCCCAGCCGTCTAAGAAGTATCCGTACAATGTCAGAATCAACCCGAGCGTGATGAAACTTCCGGAAGTGAAAGTTACACCGGTCCGTGCCTATGAGAAATCTGAGATACAGGGTAGTGAGAAAAGTGAAAGCTCTGTTACAGTTGTTTCTAAGACAACTGGTACAAATACTGAAGATAATGAAGCAGATATGGATGATGATGAAGAGGAAGAGGTAAACTTTTATTTATATATTAGAGAAAGAAACAATGGTAATACATGTATTTTGGCATTTATAATTCTTGGGAGTAAATTAACATAGTAATAAGACCATAAAGGGGCTGCCTTGTCTGTTAAAGGGCAAGCATAAAAGGTGTTTATGCCAGCCCAAGATGGGTCACCAATATAACATGTATTTCCTGTTATGACACCTGTACTGGTTTACCACAGGAACTGGACAGAATAGTTTTTCAAATAGCTTTAAGCTTTCATCAAAATTAAGCTAGAATAAATGTTTTACATAATAGGTTAAAGTTTAAAAAATTAGTTGATTAAGGGAAAATGCATACATGTATGGCATCATTATTTATAAAATCTGCAAACTAATGTTTAAAATGAAGTCAAATGTACACAAGTTTAGTGATTTTATGTTGACTACTGTTTCGTTGTTTTATGAATCTTTTGTTCAATGTTTTCTTGATATACCAGTTAGTAACTTGTTATAATAATATGTATAATACAAGCCAACAAATAATCAATAAACATTATGATTTCAGGAGGGGATAACATTGGAAGAAATTGGTAGAAAGAAGGTAATTTTTTTAAAACAAAGATAAAAGGTGTTTTTAAAATTTTGGTATTTGCCATAAAAAGCTTACCAAATTTCAATTTAAAGATTTGATGGGCTTGTTTTGAATCTTCAAGATTCAAGGCAGTATTGACATTAGTTGGTCTCTGAGTTTTATTTTACCTGTAGACGGCTAACTGCAATATGCCAAGAGTTTATAGCCAAGTTAGCCGGGTGCTTATTCATGCTTTTTCAACTAAATAGGAAATTATATTTGAGTGCATTGTTGTAGAATAATGCACGAATCGAGTTCAAATGCGTAGGAATATTATCACGAAGGCTGACTGATTATTTTCACAGATATAAGAATTGAACAAATGTTATTATTAAACATTATGTTTATAGGATGCACCTTATCAGGAATATATAGTGGTACGTTTGCCAGAAGGTTCTGAGGTGAAGCAGCTTCAACCTAGACCTAAAAAGGAGAAAACACCACTAGGGGTAAGTCTTATATACTGAGACTGGCTTCATAAAATTAACTTATTCACTGTCATAGATCAATATCTTTATTATTTAATTAAATTATTTTAATTATTTTAAGTTTGGGATGCAGAAGGGGTAGGCATCCTAGTATTTGAGTGACTGGTGATTCAAATGAATGGACATTTTTATGGATATCTTTTATATATATAATTTTAGCCACAGAGTGCTAGAGAGACAACCCAAACACTTAATAAAATGAAAGTGTGAAAAGCAGTATTTCAGTCTCCAGTATATTTACTCAGTTGTGATTTTACAATTAATTGTACTTGGCTAGCAAACTAAAGGTCATTGTTTTACTCAAGAGCCAGCTTAGATGAATAGGGAGATATCAGATTATTAAACCAGAGGTAACTGGTTCAATCCTTAGGCACAACGTAATTTCTTGGTGACATTTGATCTTGGACATCGGATCTAAATGGTCATTTGTCTCTCACCACTGATTCAGAAATCATTATGTGTTTAGTAGTCCGTCACTTGCGGAGAAGTAGGTAATTACTACATGTAGTGAGTTATCCAGGAAAGCTGGTTATACGGGTCGACTGCCGAGATATGACCAAAAGTTTGTGCTTAAAAACCAGAGAAACAAACAGGTTTACTCTAGAGACTGCTTCTGCTTTAAATAATACATGAATCAGCACCTGATCTAACCGCCTCCGTGGTCGAGGTGTTAGAGTCGATGACTTCTTATCCAGTTACCTCTCTGGCGTGGGTTCGATCCCCAGAAGATGCTTTGGTAGTTTAGTGCAGAGGAAGGTAGTCTAGTACTGGTGTAACTCTCCAGGAAAGATGGTTAGGAAACTACCTGCCTTTATGACTGAAATTCTGTTGGGATAAGGCGTAAAATGATACAAACAAACAAACAAGCACCTGATTTGCCTGGAAAGTCACCATATCATAAAACAACAAAAAATATGATTTGTATATGATTTGACAACGTTCATGTATAATATCAATTATGCTACAGTAATTCTGATAATGAAACCCTAAAGTTGTTTTGTATCATTTCATAGGAGGAAGTAACTATGGATACTGATGGAATGTATTTCTGTGTCGACTGTGGACATAAAACTGAAAATAGAGGAAACTGGTTTAAACATAGGAGAAAACATCTAGGTGAGTAATATTTCATTTATTAGGGGAACCAATATAAAGAAATATGCTTGTAGGATTTATTACTTTTTATGCGCCTCCAAATAATAGTGCTTTAATTACAATGAAAAATTTAAGCTTTGTCAGGCATCTCCCAATGCGTTACTGGTCAGATGGTGGTTCTTTATAAAAGAAATAGCTTAAATTGTTTCAGTCTGTTGAGCAACATGGTAAAAAAAATAGAAATAATCTTTAAATGACATCTTTTTCTAAATGTGACACTGCAATGACTTTTATGAAACTTGCTAGAAATGAAACAATGATGTAAAAAATCTGAATTTTATGGTTCAAATAAAATAGCAAGTAGGAGAGGTTTAATAAAGGCTAGTACTGGTAATAATTAACAAAATCTCATTCAATTGATTGATCCCTACTCAGACTTTTTATTTGTATAAAAATAAATTTTTACCTCAAACATTGACATGTGTTCTTTTGTTAAAAAAACTGTTTGTTGTAAAATGCAATAATCTGATAATTTTAATAAGACAGGTAAGAGTCATATTGGGATCTATCCATAACTTAAGTTTCTGACATGTTGATACAACAAAACTGGCACAGGAAACAAAAAAAACAAACAAAAAAACGTTGATATGCTGTAACAATGTGGAAACAAAATGTTTACATACAATTGGAAAGATGCATGAGTTAACTGACATTTTATTTGTTACTACATGGCTTTTTATGAATTGTTTTTTGTTTCAGGTATCCGCCCACATGCCTGTCATAAATGTTCATACAGGGCAGCTACAAGTAGTAATTTAAAGAGACACATGCAGATTCATGACGATGTTCGTAACTTTCTCTGTGTCTACTGTAATATGTTGTTCCGTCAGAAAATTCATCTGGAGAGGCATTTGAAATATAAACACGAGGTACCTACACAGAGATTTTGATTTTACAATGTGTCTGTTCATGTAACCAAATGGTAGATAGACAATTAATGCTGGCATTAAGCATCAAAAATTCATTTCGTTGAAAGGTCTAATATCCCTTTAAACATAATTCAATGTACAGATCTACTGCATTTGTATTCAAAATATTTGTTTTAAAATTTACTAAAAGATGAAGCAAATTCAATGATGTTTTAAAATGACCATGGGTTACCATGTCTTCATGTGTAATGTATATTTTATCTCTCTTAAAGCTGCATGCCTACGGAAATATTTCAAGATATTTAACTTTAGAAAAATGTTCTAAAATTTAAAAGTGAAGTAAAATGATTCAAGTAATCATTTACATGTTGTGTGCAATTAATGACTTTGCAGTATTTATCACCATATTTCAACTGTATGACCTATGCAGTATGGGCTTTTTTTACATATTTTGACTTCTTTCTGATTATTTATGTGGATTGTATGGTGGTTTGCAATGTGTAAATTTCTTTCTGTGTTCACTTTACAACATTAAACTTTTACATACATTTTCAAATTTTTCATGAAAAATAGCACAAATTTGGAGGAATACTGTGTTAATGCATGCAACTTTTAAATTTTGTTTCTTTTTTTTCACAGGAGAAAAATGTACAGTGTCCTCTTTGTGACTATGTGTGTTCCAGTGAAGACCCAGACCTCAAAAATCATATCAAGAGAAGACATATGCCACAGGAAGGGGCCTTAAATGCATTTACATGTGATGTTTGTGGACTTATGACTGTCAGTAAAAAAGATTTGAAACAACACAAAAAGTTCCATAAGAATGGACCAGAATTAAAACTGTTTTGCGAGCATTGTAGTTTTGTAACAGACTGTGTTAGCCGATTACGGCGGCATATGTTAATACACACAAAAGAGAGACCTTTTCAATGCGGGCTTTGCACGTATCGTGCAACGCAGAAAGAGCATGTTTTGCGTCATATGAGGTCACAGCATGGTGTTGAAGTGGAGCGTAACCAGCGGAGATCTTTACTAGAAAAGAATTACAATAATCCTCAGGAGATTCTTATAGCCGGTATGGAACAGTCCTCCAGCACAGCAACAACTTCTGCCTCAAAGGAAAGTACATCAGAAGCAGATATAGGGCCCTTTGAGAAGTCGGACTATTCCAGTACTGATAAAATATTCGCTTGCAACTACTGCTCAATGAAATTCTCTAAGCTGATTAATCTATATAAACATCTATATGCTCAACATAAACAAGTCATGCCTGATGAAGGGCCGAACGATTTTCAATGTGTTGTCTGTGACTTTCACACAAACAGTAAAAAGAATCTGTTGGTTCACATGAGGAAACATAATATGCAGGACCATTCCCCACCCACTCACGTTTATTCTTGTGTTTTGTGTCGATACATTAATCCAAGACGTAGAAACCTGTTCCAACATATGAAGAAGAAACATGGCATTGAAATCATCATGAAAGATGATGGGTTGAATTGTTACGTCACATTAGACAATGCAGCGGCTCAAGTTCAAGGTCAAAGTGTCAAATCTAGTGTCATGGCTTTGTCAGATATTGTCACCACTCAGACAATGGATGACGCAGCTCAGATGGAGTTCATGACCGGCTCTGGGGAAGACACTGCTCCATTTCATGCAGAAAAGATTACAATAGACAACATAATGGCAGATGAAATGGAATCGTATGTGGTCTCAGATTCATCGCATGAACACAGCATGGTATCTCCTCAGGTGTCAATTAGCACAGTTCTTCACGCCTCAGTGCAGGAACATGAAGCTGCTGAAGCTATCGAAGGATTACAGGCTCTTGCAGAGCAGGCAGGAATACTTGAAACACAGAATGTGGATAATGATATGACATCAGAAATCGTATCATCGGCCATAGAGATAGTCTCAACACATGAAATGAATGAAGCAGAAGTTTTGAATTCCAGTGAGACTATTATCAGGGATGAAGGCACTTTAGAGGAAGTATCAGCTGAAGGTAATGAAGGATTTGAAGTGTCTACGGAACAATTAAGTCAGTTGGCTACAGGAGACTTTGTTGAGATTAATGGTGAAGTGTATAAAGTTGAAATAGCGCCTGAAGGTTCATAGTTGTTGAAAAGTTTTCATTTGTTAAGTGGTATAAACTGGTATGAAATAAATGCTTACGTCGCTAAATTTGTGAGATGGACTTTAGCTGAATTGAATTTAAAAAAGTAAATTTGTTGTAAAATGGATTTTAATATCAAAATGCTAAATTTAAGCATTCAACAATATTTGGCCTGCTTTGGTAACTTTGCAAGAGCTGGATTGGCTTAATATTTATGCAGTAACAGATAGGATTGTTACTTTCATGTCTTGAACTTGAATAGCTAGGACAGCATTATAGTAAGGCTATAATGTTTACCTGTATTCACCTTTTAAATGTTACACAATAGTACAGTCATTGTTTTTATAGACTTATTTTTTCATTAATAAAATAAGACCTCATCTTTATAATACATTCAGGTGACAAGATTTTTAACTCACATATAATTGTTGGCTTTTTTGAAGATTATTTAGCTATACATTCTATATCTACTGAAATATCTTTTATTAAGTGTAAAATTATTCATTTTAATGAAAATATACAAACATATTCCTTTCCTACAGGTATTGTTTAATTTTTCTTTTTCAAAATTTTAACAATTTTGTAAACTTATAGAAATATACATTTAAATTCCTTCTAAGTCATTGTCAGCTGTATTTCTGGACTGAAGAATGAAAATGATAATTTTTATGTCTGTATTTGACTTATTTACAAAGTACATGAATGATGAATTTTATTTTGACATTAACTAAAGATACAGGTGTGTAATAAAGCCATTTAATAAAAACAAATTTATTACACTAGTGGCTCACATTATATGATTTTCTTCGACTTGTTCAATAAAATCTTCACTCATCCAATATCCTACATTTATACACGTTTGTTATTTATAAAATTATAGTACTAGATAAAATGTTTTCTAAAGAAGTGTATTATAAATCTACCCTCTTAGTTATGCCTTAGTCTGTTCATACTGTAAACAATATGTAATAAAATTCATAATGAATTTTAAGGAACGTCATACATGAAAATCCATTCTGCATAGATTTTCTGATCAGTGTTTTATTTGTCATCTGTTAAGAAAAATAAACCTAGATAATAATTGAAATGTAAGAAAATTTCATTATTTTAGTAATAATATGGGAATATATTTAATACATTCACCTAGGTTCGTTGGATTTTGTTAAAAGACAACATGTCTGTAAACAATTCATTAATATATGAAAGACTGTCTACAGTTTTGAAAAAGTTACTATATTAATGATGATTTCATCCTCAATACTTAATTCTGTTTTCTTGTATATTGTTTTATGTCAGATATTTCATGGCATCATTTGTGATAAATTCAAATGTTTGTGTTTGGTTTATTTCCCCTTGTGAATGGAATTAAGTTCAAAGAACCAGATGCATAATTTATTACTGTTGTATATTTTAACAGATTCGTTGTTGAACTTCCAACAGACCTCCCTTCCATACTTCCCTGTCCCCCAATCCTGCTTAACTTAATAGGGAAAGTATCGTATTTGTAATCAAAGGTGGGACACATGACAATGGAGTTTTCAGACATCAAGTCTAATGGTGATTTGTCTTTCAACTCTGATTCAGAAATCATGTACTATTGGTAGATCATCACTTGCATAGAAATTGGTAATGACTGGTTTGTTACCGAGGAAATCTAATTCAGAAGACCGAAATTTTATTCAGTAGACTGTCCATTATGACTTTCAATTCAAATGATTAACATATGTTGAAATCTGCATTCAAATGAGACAAACAAACACAAGAAAAGACATACTTAAAAGTAGTGTACAAGTGATTGATTCTGAGTTGGTCTAGTTACCCCCAATTATAACCCAAGACAACTATTTATCACATATTAAGATAAATTAATAGTGTTTATTGATTAAAAAGTAGATAAAAGATATATTCTTGATTGATAACTGTTAATAAAAAAATCCTCTTCAGTGATAATCTAAGGGGAGTAACTATGTACTAAGTATGACATTACTAAATAAGAGTTATCTCCCTGAGGTAGTTAAACAAGTTGCATAAATTATGAGATATAATTCACCTATAATATTTTAACAATATGTCTGTGAGATTTGTATTTATGCATTTCACATAAATAATATATTGCAATTATAAATTATTATGAATTGATATAGAAATGAATCAGTTTAAACAGAATATAATTACATGATTGTATCTTTTATTTTCGACTAAGATTACAAAACATCTATTTTGTTATAAGATGACGACAAATAAACCACTAATGTACAAGATATTCGTATTTCCTTCCAGAAGAGAGATAATTCAATATGCACTTAAATTAGAAGAAAATCGTAGTTATTCCTGTAAGTATTGAATATCAAGACTGGACAAAATTAATTAATTGATTAGTTAATTACTTGAATATTATTATCCAATTATAATCATTGTAAGTACAGTACATTTATAACATTTTACAAATGTTTCAAAGTTGTCTTGTGCAGTTATAGGGTAATTAGACCAACTGATTGAATCCATCATGATTGTCTTCATGCAAGTTTCTTTTTAAATTCTATTCTTTATTTTCCACTCATTTCATGTTGAACATGACATAATGAGACAAACAAAATAAAATAAATTTTAAAAGTCTACCAGAAGTTATGAAACCTGCATGTCACAGACAGACGTCAAAAGACAAATTTAAAGAAAATGAAGGCAACATATCCTAACGTTGACATATATTGCTATTTACTGATTCACAAATCACGACATAAGGATGTAGATAACACAGATGCATAGAGGATATTTGTTTGTTTTGCATGTAAGATTGAAATATAATTTCACTGAGTGAACACCAGATGCAATATTTTCACGAGTGGCGTAGCCACGAGTGAAAATATAATAGCTGGTGTTCACGAATGAAATATATTTCAATCTTATATGTAAAACAAATAAATTTTCTTTTTATTGTATGCTTTTTAAGTGATTTTAAGTATTTGTTTACTGATTTTGCCGCGTAACGTCGCGCATTTTCCTTTGTGACGTCTTCATTATATCATGACGTCACATCATAAGTTTTGAAATATAGTTCTGTTAAATTTCTCTAATTTTGTTAAATTTTAACATGATGTATGATGACATTGACTTTCTTTTCCTAAACAATCAAATTTACATATGACGGCATTTATTTCTGCGTGTTATTCCATTTGGTTATGATTTTCTTTTCATCCGCATTCAGATATAGTCCGGCTACAGTAAAAATTATATTTTATAAATTTCACTAGTGGTTTATCAGAATATAATCATCTGATATATTGTAATAAAACACTGGAAAGCATGAAATAGACAGAAGTAGCTTTTTACGTCGCTTAAATGTGACTAAAGGTAACCAAATACCGGTAAAAAAAAATAAAAGGGAAATACCCCGAAATTTTGTAATCTGATTTATGACCCATTAAGAGGTGAATGCAATGTTTAAAACGAATTTAGAGGAAAATAGAACATATAAATGTACATGACGCAAGCAAAGAGATATGACTTTATCTTTATACAGGGAAGATAGGGGAAATTCTCTTCAAAACAATCTTCAACAAATAATAACACTAAAATAGAAGGCACGAGATTGCAATTTTTTGTTGTGTTAATAACTAAATCTTTTACTTCTGCAAGATTGGATCTTGCTAACTTTGATAGATGCATGTAGAATGAAGCATGAACAGTTAAACACTGAAATCTTTCTTGTCAGCCCCAGTTTCCAATTCCATGTATTACAATACTTCAAAGATGGGTTTACCAATGTTCATTGTGTACATGCAAATCAAGTTTGTCAGTTTTTTTTTTTAATTTCGCATAACATGCAAAAATATAGTACAATGATGAATAATAGAAGGTAGAAGCACAAGTTTCTACTGTTAGAACAACGCTATTTGTAAATAATATTCCTATTTAATTGATATTATACGAGTATATCATTATTTTGTTCATTTAACTACATAAAAAGTTATTTTATTGTATTAGAACTAGAATTATCTAAGTAATAATTATTTAATCATGGTATGTAGTCATCACAAGAAGGCTCTCCAGGCAAACTTAGAACGGCATTGTATATGACAGAAATGCGAAAACACGTAGGGACGACAAAGTTGGACTTTGTCGTGTTTTCGCATTTTTGAGGCAAAGAAGCGAAAATACGACAGAAGGAGGGCAAAAATACAACACATAAAATCTGTCGTATATTCGCATTCCATCTGTCGTATTTTCGCTTTTTCGCATTCAAAATACAAAAATGCGAAAACACAAAGAGACGACAAAGTATCACTTCGCATTTTTGCCTTTTCGCATAGTTACATTTTCGCATTGTTACATTTTCGCTTTTTCGCATTGTTACATTTTCGCATTGTTATATTTTCGCATTTCCGCGTTCCGGTTGTACATGCGCATGAAGACACAATTCATTATTTAATAGTCCTCTATAAGATACGTTGTATTCACGTAGATGTATAATTTAAAAGTATCACCCCGCTCCTTACACATGTAAAATAATTAAATAATATAACGTTTAGGCTTTCAGATTGTTTTGAATCAATTAATGCAACAATTATTCTAAGAAATACAGTAATTTGTTCCTACCATCTTTAGATTATCAGTTTATTTGCTGACGGGTGTAACATGAGATTTACGATAAAGGCACTGCCCGCACACATCTTAAAATAGATATGTCTGAGATTGAGGTGTATTTTCACAGGAAAACACATTTTATAATGTCTGTTATTCTAGTATTAGAGTTTTTTTTAGACATACTTGATCTGATAATATGTAAAATCATTTTTATTCATTATAACATTATACCATGTTGTCAGGCGTTCCTCAGGTTTTTAAAACAAAACTTTCTTGATGGTCATTTTGTCTTCCCCATATTGCACGAATGTCAATAAAAGGAGAACATTAAAAGTCATAGAAAAATTCAATAAACATATTGTATTTAGATCATATTGTAATATACTGTGCTTCTCTTAGTTCACGGTACTTAACGCAGGGAAACAATATTTGAATGGTACAAAAATGTCATTAGCTGTAACGTTTGGGTATTTTCAGATTGATGTCTCCATGCGCATGTGCAACCGGAACGCGAAAATGTAACAATGCGAAAAAGCGAAAATGTAACAATGCGAAAAAGCGAAAATGTAACAATGCGTAAAAGCGAAAATACGACAGATGGAATGCAAATATGACAGATTTTATGTGTCGTATATTCGCCCTCCTGTCGTATTTTCGCTTTGTTGCCTCGAAAATGAGAAAAAGCAAAAACATGAAGGGACGACAAAGTTGGACTTTGTCGTCTCTTCGTGTTTTCGAGGCAACAAAGCGAAAATACGACATGGCGTAAATCAGCCACCATATTAATCACACACTACAAATATTTCATAATCTGTTACACATTGTGTGATACAATAGGTGACAACTATGTTTTATACTAAAGATATTTTGAATTACATGTACATACAGAGAAACAATTTTATATTTATTAAAATTTTTATCAGGTACTAGTTACTAGGTTTGAATACCACCAGAGACGAAAAATATGTAGGTAAAGAACGCAATATTAAGTTACAATCAAGATAAAAGTAACCGGATATGGGAAAATACAATACAGTATACACATAATATTATAAATAAACTTTAAAACGAATGTAGGGGAAGTTAGGCAATAAAAAATGTTGAAAAAGGTTTTACGTAACCCTAGATAAGATTTAACATAGTGTATAGAAGGATATGCAAATTCCCGATTTTTCTTTTTCTTTTTAGCTCACCTGAGGACAATGTCATCAAGGTGAGCTTTTGTGGTGGCCCATTATCCGTCGTCCATCTTCCGTGCGGGCGTCAACAATTTCTTTAAACATCTCCCCCTTTACCACATGGCCAAATTTGTTGAAACTTTGCAGGTTTTTGATGTCTACCAAGTTTGTTCAAATAACAGCACTAGGGTCAAAATTGGCCCCGCCCCAGGGGTCATTGATTTTCTTTCAATGTACATGAATATAGAATTTTTTTTAAAAAAGTTCTTGTGAAAATCTAAAACATCTTCTAATAGATTTCTACCAAGTTTGTTCAAAAAAAATCCCTGGGTTCAAAATTGGCCTGACCCTAGGGGTCATTGATATTCCTTATACGAGTATGAATATATGAATATAATAAAAACTAAAAAAATCTTCTTGTGACAATCCAAAAGAGAATGAGCTTAGATATTTGCCATAAAAATCTTCTAACGGATGTATACCAAGTTTGTTCTAATAAAAGTTTTAAGGTAAAAATTGGCCCTGCCCCAGGGGTCATTGATTTTCATGTATATAGTAAAAAGTTAAAAAAAAATCTTGTGAAAATCAAAAAAGGTAGAGCTTAAATATTTGGCATGAAACATCTTCTATAGGATGTCTACCAAGTTTGTTCAAATGAAACCCCTAGAGTCAAAATGGACCCCCGCCCCATGGTTTCATTGATTTTCCTTGCGACTCAACATTGTCAGGTATTTAATTTTCCACCACTTGTACAAACTGTAAGTTGATAAAAAGAACAGTTCAGCTTCCTTCTTCCCGTACAAACGTACTCTTGTAATGGCGCTGAGGTTATTATACAATATTGAACTTTATTTGAAGGGCGAGTATACATCTGTTACACATATGCGCCTCGTCCAATATAGGTTTTACATTTTTGTATGATTCAAGCAGAAGCATAATTCTATTAAATATGTATATTCATCCCGCTAATTATCAATGTTTTGATAGACCTTTGTTACTTCGAGCACAAAATAGCTTTTATATGATATTTTCGACCACTGATAATGAAAACGAGACTAGATGGAGTACAATATGAATTTGAACCGGATTGTTTGGACATCATAACGTGTCAACATTAAAACTGGACTGTTGGAACATCACGTGGTGCACATGTTTATTTGTGACACTATAAAGGGTGTTGATTGAACATAAATATGTCAATTATATACCATATGCTATTTTTATCATGGATGTTATAGAATAGTTCTTATTTAGAGACTTTACTAAATTCAAATGATTAAAATGTAAAATTCATCGTTGAAGCTCTCTACGCACTTTGCAAAAAGCAGCAATTTC